GGTAAACAAGATTCATATAAGTCCATTATTCAGCTTTATGAAAAATGTACAAAAAACTACTTAAGAAGTAGAGCTCTTACAAGGTCGCTCTGGAATATCTGCCTGAAATTTCCGATAGCCCAGAATCTTTTTGAAAGTCCTAGAAGGTTTCAGGGAATTATTCCATTATTACGCTACCCACTTAAAGGCACAACATAAATAGCACCCTCTTTCTTGCTTATATGTCCCTGAACTGGTCGAATTATGTCCTAGCATTGAGAACATTCCTTTTGCAGAGTTCGCATCCGGTCTCTTCTAAACCCCTCAGTACTCGTGCGAGCCGAAAAATTGTCTTTGGAGCCCCTACTGGGCGGTTTTGTACCTCGCCCCAACGCTGCACAACCCGAAACAAGACGGTTGAAGATGAGTCTTGTAACGTTCAACAGAATGAGATGCGTGAAATCTCTGAAAATGCCATTGAGTGGGTATAACCCTCTTGCAGAAATTCTACGGGAAAAATCAGAGCATTCCAGAAGAAATCTAACTAAATAGTATGAAATTTCTGGCAGATTAGTCCCGAACATCCCCATACAGAGGAAAACGTCTTCGTGTCTATGGGAAGGATTACGAATGTTAACTGCAAGGAAATAAACAGTTCTAAAGCTTGATGTCTTTGAGCTGCTAGAGAAGAAAAAAACATAGAATAGGAATACGTCAGAAGCAGGCGTTAGCAAAAACCTCCAACACCATATACGTATTCTGTTTGATAAACCTTTTTCACCACAGTCAAACGTTCTTCTTTATTGGAATGTTATACTTCATCATATATAAGTCCCAGTTGGAATGAGCCGAGTATATAACTGAAACACAGGGATGGATACCAAATTATTATGGATTACTCGTTTTCATTTGCTTCTGAACTAGCATTATATACTTAGCATGAACAATGGATCACTAAGAGACCCCGTGAGTGAAGTGCCGTCCCTCAAAAGAAGATGATGATATACTAGGGCGTTTGGGAAATGTTCGGAGAGAACTTAGCAGTAGCTCAGATTTTCCCGGGATGTTCTGTGCGTTTTCGTAGAAAAACAGGACAATACTCGCTCCTATGCTTAGAAGATACCGGGAGATTTCTTGATGTCGCAATCGGTCGTCAAGTGCAAAGCTTCTCTTTTCTCCTTTGTTTCCAGCTGTGGAGAGTTGAAATGAGGTGGAAAACCGCTCAGCGGGACTTTAAAGACCTGAGCTTGGAAAGCTTTGTTGTATTTCAGCAGCAGAGTGACTGTTTTTCAAAAGGGATTTCGTGGGACATGGATGACATTTCGGCCATCTTAGGATTGGAAATGCAAGAAAGAAATAGGGCATGTTATGATCATTCAAGCGAGTAAAACACTTAGATGGGAAATTCCAAAAAAAAAATCGCTGAAAAGATTTGAACATTTTAAAGTTTCCAGCAGGTCTTTTCTGAACGCCCTAGTATATCAGATTCAGGTTTATTTATCAAGAGCGGCTCATACACAGAATCACTTCGTGATTCAGATGCTATCTTCAATTAACAAATTGCTGGTTCAGAGGCAAAAATGCACAACAACAACTCAGGTAAAATGATCGGATATCTGCTACGTTAATTCCAGTCCTCCTTGAGAACAGTCAGCTGGGAATGACGTAAAAGCTCAAAAGCTGTTGTGAGAGATAAAATATAGATCCAGACTAAATCTTCTCAGAGTCAGAAGAAATTTCGTAAATCATCCCAATCAGGAGATCCCGAACAGAACAGTTCCCCGTGTATTTATAGAACTGCTATTGGTTGAGGTCCTTATGTGTCAGAGGACTTCAGGGGCTTCACTGAGTAACCCACGACTCTGAAGGAGACAGTGAGATTGAGGTGTTAGGCCGTTGAGTAAACTGATCCACTATGGACGAAATTGAAACAAAGCTAACCGAGTAAAAAACTACTTGCTGCTATTTGTTTCGTCAAATGCTTGAGCCTTCATTTAAAATTTTTATAGTCGGGAAACCACCCCTTACTAAAGCTACACAGGCTGGTAAGTGTCATTTTCAATTATTTACGAACTCTGTTTCCTAGATGGAGGTGTAAACTCCAAAGCATTTAGAATGAAAGATTTTTTTCTGAGCTGGAAAACCGCTTTTTACATTCACGAGAACTACTTAAGAACAGAATCCTACGTAACTAACTCGAGGTGACTACCCACATATCAATCCCAGTTGTAATCACGGCTCAGTTTCGAGCTTTTGATGAACAGGCGAGCATCTTCTGCTGTCCACGAGATAGACGTGGCGATTTCATGTCTTCAACTTCTCCATCGAGGGAAGATATTTCGTCCACTGATGATTCGATTCGAGCCGTCGTCCGTCCGCTTGGAGGAAGTTCTACACTTCTTGGTGGTGAACTCGCTACATATAGAATCATTAGATCTGTCGACTTCTAATAAAGTTATTCAGTTCAGTTGTGAATCATTGTGTTTACTATCCTGCCCTAGCCAGGCATGTCGAGGTTTGTTCACTTTGGAAAAACAAATAAATAATAACATATCTGCTCTTATGGTGGAACATACGCACAAGCATTCGATTCCACTTCGTAGCGTGGTGGAGCAGACACCGGCTTCAAAGCGTCTTCGTATCGAGGAGGGTTGGGAGATTCAGCAGAATGTTCAGGATCGAGGACTGATGGTTCCAACACGAATCCTGAAATTATCTGAACTCAGATACTAATGAGTAGATTGAGACTAATGACAAAAGCTGCCGCTGTCATAATCAATGTTCAGGGATCAAGTCACAACCACCTTCACAACGACGTCTCTATGAATTCCATTCTCCCAGAAAGCTCCCCCAACAAATGATTGCTATCCCTTTCCGCTAGTTCGCCCACCTGTGTAGCACTAAGCAGTAAAGCGTAAAATGTTTCACATGAACAATCGTATTCGGATGAGCCACGTATGTGAATTCCATTCAGAAGACTCGGAAGGAACATAGGTTTTTCTCCCCATTGACTCGAGTACGTTATTCCTCTCTGTTTTCACCTTCTTACGAGAGATTAGCACCAAGTCGTTGATTCAAAAGAGGCTAATGGCTCAGCCAGCATAAACATCCGTTCAAATCCGCTCACAAGGGATAGGTAAGTCATGAGACAGGATGCGTCTTGAGTATCCCGTCGAACAGATACTTCATTCGTGACGAGAAAGTGGCAATGGAGTAATTGGCTACCATAGGTGCTTCACAGAATGAATACTGCTACTATGGACTCACCCACAATCTGAGGATATTGTTCTGCCGTCGGTTGTATACTGGCGGTGATTACCATACTGCGGATCTGGTTGCGTTCATCGAAATAAAAGCGGCTGCCTAAAAGACCAAAAACAGTGAACGGATGAGTAAGATAAAGCTCTTGGAGCTATTCAGTTCCGTTTCTGGGATGGGCCCGATAGTCGACTTCCACTCAGAATCGTTGTAGAACTTTGCAGGGTGGGGGATACCTATATAGCGTGACCTACGAAAGCCATTCCTTGTGCAAATCAGTGTTTTTGTCCTAGACGAGTCCGGTATTCTACGGTCATTATTTAC